CCAACTTTCTCGCGGTTTTATCATCATCTATGACTGCCTGCCACAACTTATCCCCAAATATACGCCACTCTGACAACTCATGCACTGTGTGAGGATTTCGAAAAAGTCCCTGTGCATACCCATGAGCTAACAACCCATGAAGCTCTTTCTGCAAATCTATACCCTTAACCTTACGCTTTTGTAAAAAGCCAGTAAATAAATCATATGCTGCTTGCCTTTCTTTATCCATGTTAAACATAACAGCACGCTTCTTGCAGCCCTTCAAGGTTTCGGCAGCACGTATCGGCCGGGGTCTCCGATGAGTTCACCCGGGGGGCGGCACTTTCCCTTTTCAGCGGTGCTTTGGCCATCCTCAGCTGCGGTAGGACCCGAACTCCTTACACCGATCGACCGTGGCTACCAGCGAATCACGTCTCGGGTCACCATTTGTCGTGAACAGCGGAAGAATTGCAGCACACAATATGCGTGAACAGCAAATCCCAAAGTTTATTGATAGCTCACACATGTTTATATTGGTGTTAATGAAGCTTATACATATTGCAAAAGCTGAGCTCATTATTGGTTAAAGCACACTTAGATCAACCACACCTACTTCTATGCTCTAATGATTATTTTGTTTCTATGTTTACATTCTTATAGCTACTCTACCTAGGCTATCTTCATTTTCTGGCAAGCGATTTTCTCCCCCATCTTCCTGTTTCAGCGAAGGTCACCATGACCTTTGTCAGTGATTGGACACTGGTTCCTTAATCCCCAGCTTGTTTCCCCTATCCTTATCCAACGGTATCACGTCGAAGTGGCCTTTCTCAGCTAGCCAATTATCCACAAAGCTCACCACACTGTTCAAACCTGCTCTGGACTGAAAACCCAGAAGAGCACGGGGAGCTCACACCTGTGGCCCACCGGGGCCTGGGATGCGGCATTTTCCAGCACCAGGGGGACTGATAAGAGACTGAGTGAGCCAAACTACACTCCACAACAAGGACTTGCTGAATTTGCCACCTCTGCAGAACAGCAGGAGATTTTATTGTCTAATGTTGTTTTCATTTTTTTATGCTTGTGAATACTTTGCTTATTAAATAAACAGTTTTTTCCACTTTTCTTTGACGAAATCTTTTCCCAAACAAGTTGGGGGGGGGGCTGCTTGAATTTGTTTACTTGAGGAAGCCTGTTCAGAGGCTTCCTCCCAAATTTTCCCTAAAGCAGGACACAACCCAAAGCATTCCATGAGGATTCCTCGTGTCACTCACTACCACCCCAGGCAGGAGTGCCCCTGCTGCACACAGCACCAGCCTGGCAGAGCTCAAGGAGCATTTGGACAATGCTCTCAGGCACAGCCTGGGATTCTTGGGATGTCCTGTGCAGGGCCACGAGCTCAACTCCATCAACCTTGTAGGTCCCTTCCAACTCTGGATATTTTATGGTTCTATGTTATGCTGAGGATCTTTCATGATGATTCCACTTGATGATGACTCCACTGTGTTGTCCCTGTGCCCTGGCTCTGGCACAAAAGCTTCAAAAGCCCTCTGCAAGGCAACACTACCAGAGGAGGTGAATTCCTTTGCACAGCTCCCAGCCAGGAAGTGAATCAGAGGGAGGGCAGAGCTCGTGGCACAGGTGAGCAGGAGAGAGGTGCTGGCGGCAAAGACAGAGAAGACAAACGCCCTCAGCAAGAGCCAGTGCCCAAAATCAGCAGGGAAGAAGGGGAAGGAGATGACAGGAGCAGCAGGAGCAGGGCACAGAGCTTCCCTGGGAGCTGTTTCCATGGGCAGCACAGGAGCCTGGCCATCAGGGCCAGAGCAGAACAGGTCAGGCTGAGCACTGAGAAGAGGCAGCTCAGGACCGAGGCCATAGGCACCAAAGAGCAGCAATGGAGGGGGGTAATGAGCAGGAAGGAGAGCAGCCAGAGCAGGGCACACAGGAGCATGGGGAAGCACTGCGAGCAGTGGCAGGGCCAGCAGGACACGCGAGGACAAACAGAGCTGTCACAGCACTGAGGGCTGTCAGACAGGAGACAGCGGCAGTGAAAGGCAAGAGGATGGGCACCTTCAGCCCAGCTGTCACACCCCACGAGCCCAGCTGCTGGCAGAAGCTCTCTGGGACAGAAAATAGCCCCAGGGGGATGATGATGGAGAGCAGGAAGGTGAAGCCAGCCATGGCCAGGCTGAGCACATAAGGGGTGATGGGGTTCCTGTGCATGCAGAAGCTGAGGAGCCAGAGCACAGCCCCATTCCCACCATTCCACACAGGCACAGCAGCAGCAGCAGCAGCAGGACAGGCACTTTGCTCCACTGCCTGTGGTCACACTGGCTCCAGTTGCCGTGGCTCTCCTCATTCCAGCTCCCCTTGGATGCCTTCCCACCGGGCTGGCTCCAGCAGGCAGGGCTGGCTCCCTCCGTGGCAGGGGACAAAGTGCTCATGGTGACACCTCTGCTGCTTCTCCTGCCCTCACACAGCTGGAGGGGTGACACACAGAGACACCAGAGCAACGCTGCTGTCCCCCAAACGTGGCTTTTCCCATCTTTTCCCAGCCACAGCTTCCATGTGCAGCAGCACAGGCAGGGCTGAGGGACAGGACAGAAGGCAAGTAGGATGTGGGAGCCTGGTCTGGCATGCCTGGCACAAAAGCCAGGGAGATACCTCCTTCCTGGCTGTGGACAGGACACAGCTGGAGGAGGAAAACAAGTGGAGAAGGAAGGAATTGCCCATGGAGATGTCACAGAGCAAATGGCTTTGGGATGGATCTGAGCTGGACTCTCAGGTGTCAGTTGATGTCACTGAGCTGATGGATTCCTTCAGCAGGACACTCGTTTCAATATTCCCTCCCTTTCCCCACACTGTTTATAGCTTTCACTTCCCTACAGACCTCAGTTCTGCCCCCAAAATCAATCACCAGGTTCCACCCAATGAGGGGGCCCTGATTAAGGTGGAAGAGAAGAGTCTGACCTTGTTTCCTCTGGCAGCCTGCAGAACTTTCCCGCAGCGCACTCCCCTCAGCTCCCAGCCTCCAGCTGCTGTCCCTGGGCCAGGATCTGCAGGAGCTTCCCTGGAATGGTCCCTTGGGAAAGGGGAGCGCGGCCCGCGGGGTGAGCCCGAGCGGCGCCCGGCGCGGGCTCTGTCCCAGCTCCTGCCACAGCCCCTGCTCTCCGTGCTGCCTCGTGTTCCCCAGGGCTCTCACACACAGGCAGCTGCCTCAGAGCTGCCACGGCCTCAGGCCTCTGCTCCTCAGCTGCTCTTCACTCTGCCCGGGAAATGAGCAACAGCAGAGAGCCCCAGCAACCACACCTGTGCCCAAAGCGCTTTGGCTCCATCTCAGCCTCTGTTCTATTTTATAGCAACCTCAACCCCAAAATCTTGTCTTCTGAACTGCCTGAACTTGCCCCCTGTCATCCCCTGACGTGGATCCTAAGGACCCTGCACTACAAATGTCATCTTAAACTTTGATATCTGATTCAAATCTAGTTTTGCCATGTGTATGCCACAATTTCAGTGGTATTCTTTCTTCACCACACAGTTTCCAAGATTCATGCAATAATAAATTCTGTGTGCGAGCTGGAGCACTGGCGCACAGCAGAGGGATGATTTGGGATTTCAGCAATGTCATTTCTTCTGAGAAGAGGCAAATCCATGCTGCTCTCTTGGCTTTAATCCTTAGAAAGTTGCAGGTTTCATCTCAGTCATCCTTTACATCCATTGGGAGTCTGACAGCAGCCTACAGTGAATTCCAAGGAATTCCTAGAAAGCTGAGGTGAGATGATTCCCACCCAGGCTGACATTTGCCTCAGGGATCTGGGATGCTCCTGCTGGAAACTGCTGGCCCTGGGACCAGAACTGTCACCTCTCTTCCTGCTGACACCGTGTTTGTGTCCCCAGCTATGGCATCTCACATCCCCTCACCAGCCCAATCCTTTCAAGGGCAAACACTTCATCATCCAGGAGCTGATGGGGCTCCAGGACAGTTGGAGAGGGACTTTGGACAAGGGCATGGAGTGACAGGACAAGGGGGAATGACTTCCCACTGACAGAGGGTGGGGACAGATTGGATGTTGGGAAGAAATCCTTCCCTGTGAGGGTGCTGAGGCCCTGGCATACATTGCCCAGAGAGGCTGTGGCTGTCCCTGGATCCCTGGAAGTGTCCAAGGCCAGACTGACGTGGATGTGGAGCAATCTGGGATAGTGGAACATTGTCTCTGCTTGCAAAGGGACAGTCAGGGATCAGGTGTCACAAACAAGCCCAAGTGTTCCCAGGACGGAGGAGGAGCAGGAGCAGCTCTGGTGAAGGGCTGGCAGGGGGTTCACAGCACCCTGGTCCCTGATAGCTTTCATTGCATCATCAAGGGCATTGGCAGTAATCAGGGTGGGCTCCAAGTGCTGATAGCCTGGCTGCAAGCAACTGAGTGCTGTCCTTCCCTTGGGCTCTATGAGCCTGGGGGAGAATGCAAAAATGGGAATTCTTGCCTCATTTGTGCTTCCTTGGGCACAGGGGAGGTTTTGGCAGTGATTCTGGAGCTCTTCCCAGAATAGGAGCAGTTTCTGACAAGCACCCAGATGCTTCACCAGCACTGCCAGCACTGCCAGCAGCATTCCAGTGCCACCAGCACCACCAGCATCCCTCTGCTGCTGGAGGGACAGTGACCCCTCAGGGAAGACAAACAAAGAATGGTAGAGAGAGAGAAGGTGGTTGGAGTATGGGACATTCTGCAGGGAAGGAATATTTCTAATCAGAAGGAAATGAGGAGCCAATTGCAAAATTCTTCATGTGGACTTTAGACAAAAGCCAATTCCTTTGTGGCAAAGAAAAAAAATATTCAAGATAAAAACCTGAGAGGGAGTGGAGCTCTGACACACCCAAAGCTGTAAAACAACTTCCACCTGCCCTATGACCCCACTGAGCCTTGGGAAGCAACACGAGGGCAGGGTACAAAGAGGAGCCAGTGGGGCAGGAGTGAGGAGCTCCTGGTGATCTGGGCACTTTCTCCTTCATGTCCCTGACCTGCCAGGAGCCGCTTTAGGACATGGATCCCAAAGGAGCAAGAGGTACCAGGAAGCGCCGCTGATCTGCACAGAGCCCTTTGCCTGCTGCTGCCCCACAGGGAACAGGTCAGTGGAATGTTTGCCTTCCTCCCTACCCCACCTTCCTCTCCTGCAGCAGCTGCTCTGTTCCTGCCACCCTCTCCCGCTGACCCCAGGGCCCTCCCCAGCTCCTCTCTCTTCTCCTGTGCATCCCGTCTGTGTCCTAATACTGAAATGGGCCAGAACAAACTTTCTAACACAATGCAGAGCATGAGGAAGCAGCAATTCTTGACCTGTACAGGACACAGAGGGATCTCTCCATGTATTGAGTGTATGGTGAGACTTTACAACAGGGTATTAATCCATTAGAACCACATGTAAACTTTGAAAAGTTTTTCTTTTCTAATACACAAACACCATTTTCCTAGAACTCATTTCCATGCATCTACCTCCTCCTGCAAGCCCTTTCATGATCCTGGAGATTTATTCAGAGGGGTCTCTCTGGTGGTCATATTCAATGAATGCTGCCATATTAAAGGTGCCCTTGCCTTGAACTTTGGCCATGCACTGTTGTCTCTTGTTCCTCAACTTGCCACAAAATCACAGCAGGCCTCCTTATCTCTTCTGCACTGGTTCCTTCCATATTTGCCATCCTCTGTGCCAGCATTTTCCTCTTTTTATCATTTTGGTCACTTTACTTTTGAACAACTTCAGAAAAACTGAAAATGTTTATTCTCTATGTTATTTATCAGCCTCCTGCCAAACAGCCCAACCCTCCAACCTCCCTCTCCCACCCCACAATTTCCACCACCCTCCTCCCCTGCACATCTCACTCTTCCCCACTGAATTCTTCCCACTGCAGGGAGCTGCTGAGGAGCCGCACGGTCCATCCCTGGATTCTCCAAGCACTGACTGCCCATCCACTCTGACCACAGCCAGGGGCCACATCCCACTGCCTGCCCAGCGTCCATCCATGGAGGTGACCACCGTGTCCCCATCTCCTGCCTCACCCACTGAAGGAGATCATCTCTGTGAAACTGATGCCACCGATGTGTCCATACACAGTGTGACCCTGCTCATCTGCCTCTGTGGGCTGGCTGGGAACGGGGCTGTCATCTGGGTCCTCGGGTTCCGCATCCACAGGGACACCATGAAACCCATCACTGCCTACATCCTTGACCTGGCCATCATCAACTTCATCTTCCTCATCTTCATGGTCCCCTTCACTCTGCTCTTCCTGCTGGAGGATTTCTCCTGCTCCTACATCATGCCCCCAGCATCCATAAACTTCCTTTTCCTCCTCTTCCGGATGTTCTACAGCGTGGGGCTGTACCGGCTGACGGCCATCAGCATCGAGAGGGGCAGGTCCATGCTCTGCCCACCTGGGCTCTTCTGCCACCTTCCCCGGGACCTCTCATGGGTGGTGGTCAGCGCCGTGCTCTGGGCCCTTTCCATCACTGTCATCGCTGCCATTTCTGCGGTGAATTCCCTGTGCCAGTCACAGGAACACAAGCTCTGCCAGGGGGCTCTCATCTCCCTGTACATCCTCAACTTCCTCGTCTTTGCTCCATCCATCGTCATTTCCAGCACAATCCTCTTCATTCACTTCAAGGCTAGCTCCCAGCAGCAGCAATCCAAGAGGCTTGACATCATTGTCTTCCTCGCTGTGCTCCTCACTCTCCCCCTCAGTCTCTGGAATTTCCTGCAGCAGCTCGGCTACACCACTGTGTCCCCCCGGGTGGTTCTCCTGTTTGCCGGCATGCACAGCAGCATCAACCCCTTCATCTACATCTCAGTAACAAAGTGCTGGAGGAACTGCTCCATGGGGTCCCTAAGGGAGTGCCTCCAGAGGGTGTTTGAGGAGCCAGAAGGGAGCACTGTCCCCAGTAATGATGCCACCAGGGACACGGTGATCTAAGCCTGTTGAACCCTTCAAGTGCCCCCATGCAGGACCATGGGGCAGGGACTTAGGATCACCCTCCCACCCTTATTCCTGCAGGGAAAGGGAGCAGAGGCTGTGACAGGGGCCATGTGGGAGGCATGCTCTGCACAGAGCACATTGGAGCATGGATTTGCTTCTCCCTCACAGGTCCTAGAGCACTTTACCCCCAAAAGAATCCTTCCCAACACGGCTGTGACCCCAAAATTCCCCCTGGCATCTGCTTCCTGCATCCCACTGACCTCTGATACCAATAAACAGCACCGTGAACCCTGAGCTGCCTTTGCCTCCTCTGACAGCACTTCCTGGCTTCCTCTGGCTGCTGCTGCCAGCCTGGAATGTGGATGGAGGGAGGGAACAGAGAGGTAGTTAGCCAGGAATTTTGTGATTGTTTAGAAATTTCTGTAATGAACTATGTTTAATGAGTTAAGGCATATTTGACTGTGGACTTTAGCAGGTTTTGATTTAGATCTGTGTTGGTGGAGTGTCAGTAGAAAACTTTACCAGCGCATACCCCATAGAGAACTTACTCAATAGATGGAGAACAAAAATCAATAAAGTACTTTTAATGGTTATCATACAACTAGAACTAATTGGATGTCATAGAAGAAGAATGATATCTTGAGAGGTTTAGTATTTCAGAGGCCTATAGATACCAAAAGATGTAATTAAAAAATTGCAAGACATAAATTGCAATGGCAATAAGGGAGCCATTTCCTAGGCCTGTACATCAAATTTAATAAAATATTTTTTACTGGAAAAAAACCCCAGGTTATCCATTTAACTAAGATTGATGGCATATTTTGGTAGTATATAAAAGAAACAAAAAAACTATACTATGATGTAAATATTGGGACCATATTTGGGAGTATCTGTAAAAACTCTGGGATATTATAATGCATAAAAATGCCTGAAAAGTGTTGTTTCTTTGAACCTGTCTATGGCAAATATATTTCCAATATGTTTACTATTTTGACTCAAAATTGTTACTAGTCTAACACGCTTTTGCTGTCAGACTTAAAATGTCTTGGTTTCAGAGGGGACACAGCCATGGCTTGTGCTGCCTGGAGCAACCATGATCCCCAGAGCTGGGCTGGCATGGACACGATGGCCCAGGGGCTCAGCATTCCCCACCCCAAGTGCTCTGTCAGTGTCACAGCAGAGATCTCCCCAGAGATCTTTACTTTTCAATTTTGTCAGCCAGGAGCAAAGGTGTCTCTGCCTTCAGAAATTCTTCCTCTCCACTGCCTTCAGCTGCTCCCTCAGCAGGCTCAGGTGGTGCAGCAGCAAGGAGAGGAGGAGGCCGTGCTCCTCAGCACAGCCACCCCCTTCCAGGAGCAGGGTGACACCTGTGCTTGTCACCATGGGCTCCACGGGGCATCACCCCCCTCCCTGGGGCTTCCCTGAGGTCACCAGCCCCACCACACCCCACACCTTCTCTCCAGCCCCACCACACCCCACACCTTCTCTCCAGCCCCACCACACCCCACACCTTCCCACCACATCTTCCCAGCAGCTCCATCATGTCCCACCCTCCCACACCATCCTCCCATCCCACTCCCCATGCAGCCCACCCACCTCCCGTCCTTCCCATCCCTCCCAGCCCCGTGCCTGAGGCTTCAGTCCCTCCCCACGGGCTGCTCACCCCAGGCTGCCCTGGAAGCCTTTGGGGCCGTGTTTCTCTTGGAGATTCCCCTCCCCAGCTCCATCCCTGGTGTCCAGACCCCCAGCCTCCTTTGGACACAAACAAGAGGCACTACAGGGATGGCTTGGAGTGCCCAGAGTGAACCTTTTGAAGGCCTTTCATCAATGCCTCCTTTTATTCTCTTCACCTGGTCTGGCCTCTGTTCTAGGGAGCCAGCCCAAGGCATCAGGCACACAGGGGCTGGAGGGGGCAGGAGGGCTCTGGGTGCCACCAATCCCAAATCTCCCACTGGACAGCAGCAGAGCCCAACAGGCCACACCTGCAGCCAGGGAGTGGCCAGGGACTGGGAACCCATCGGCATGGCATGGCATGGCATGGCATGGCATGGCATGGCATGGCATGGGAAGAGGAGTGGAGATGGGAACTGGGAGTGATACCAAAATCAGCCCGAATAAACTTTCAAACACAATGGGAAGCTTTAGGAAGCAGGAATTCTTTGCCTCCAAGGGACGCACAGATGGATCTCTCCATATTTCTGTTAGGGTTGAGACTTTACATCAGGGGTTTTATCCATCATAAGCACAGAGAGTTATTAAAGTTTGTTTCTTATCTAATACATAAACATCACTTTCCTAGGACTCATTTCCATGCATCCACCTCCTTCTCCAAGTCCTCTCCTGGCCCTGGAGGTTCTTTCACAGGGGTCTCTGGTGGTTGCATTCACTGAGTGCTGACATATTAAAGGTGACCTTGCCTTGAATTTTTCCTTTGGCCATGTGCTCTTGCTTCCTGTTATAGAACTTGCCCCAAAACCACTGCAGGCCTCCAAATCTCTTTCTGCACTGGCTCCAGCCACGCTTATCATCCTGTGTGATCCTGAGGAGCTCATTGGAGCTGAGCTTTCCTCCTCCCTCCTGGGTCCTAGAACCCTCTGGCCAGGAGGAGCAGGTATGGAATATTAATCCCAATATTACTGGGTGGGACGTGCCTGGGCTCGTCTGACCCTTGCTGCTGGGCCAAAGGCGGCAGCTGTGGTGTTTCACCCCAGAGATACCTTTGGCCAGCTGGATGCTGCAGCTGGGCACTCGGAAAGAAATCCAGGCATAGTAGGAACTCAGTTTACCTCTGGTGGAAAAGGTTCAGGTGATGGTGAAGAGAAACAGGAGAGGATTCTGCCGTAGAGTTATAATCCAGAGTTTTATTCCTGGATGACAGACCTCTGAATCTTGTAACAGCTCCCAACAGAATCCAGACCGCATGGTCCCGTCTCCTTTTAAGCCCGGGGACAGGGGGAGGGGAAGGGACAGGTGAGGCACCAGCCAGGTGGGAGGAGGGGAAGGCTCAAGGGATACAGACACTGGGACAGGCCAATGAGCCCAGATCTGAGGGGCACCTTTTGAACTCCTGCCAACCACACCATGACCCTGCTGGAAGGTTAACATTGATGGACAGCTCTCAGCAGGAGGGCAAAGGGGGAGGGGAAAGGAGAGGTTGGCACACCTGGGGGGTTGGGAAAGGTGAAACAGGAAATGGCATCACACTGCAACAAGCAGGGACACTGCCGCGTGTCCCAAAAGGATCAGGGCTGGATCGGCGCTCCTTGGGCGTGAAAAGGGGGCCCCGGGGATGGTCTGGGGTGTTGCAGGTGGTTTCAGAGGGGTCAGGAGAGGCTCGGAGCGGGATGGAGGGGGTCTGGATGCCGGCAATCCCAAATCTCCCCACTGGAGGAGAGCAGAGCCTGACAGGCCACGATCAAAGTAGGGATTGGCTCTGTCTGGGAAACCTGTGGGATGTGATAGGATGGGGTGAGGATAGAGAGAGGGGTGGAGATAGGGATGGGGATGGGGATGGGGAGCAGGGATAAGGATGGGATCAGAATAGGAGGAGGAAGCAGCTCAACTGTGCTTCCTCAGGACCAGAGCATGTTTTTGCAATGATCTCAGAGCCCTTCCCGGAACTGGAGCTGTTTCTGAGAAGCACCCGGCTGCCTCACCCACACTGCCAGCACTGCCAGCATTCCAGTGCCACCAGCACCACCAGCATCCCTCTGCTGCTGTAGAGACCATGTAACCTCAGGAAGAGTAATGAGGAATGGTAGAAACCGATCTCGACAGGAAAGGAAGTGGGAGAATGGGACACTCTGCAGGGAAGGAGTGTTTCTACTCAGGAGATAAAGAGGAACCAATCAGAAAAATCTTCATGTAGAGCTTCTGACAAAAGCCACTTCCGCTGTAGGGAAAAAAAAAAAAAAACCCCACACCCAACATAAATAACTCAGAGAAACTGAATTTCTGAAGTAGGCAAAGTTGCAATTTTCGAATACCCCTCTCCCCCCGTGACTCCACTGAGCCCTGGGAAACAACATGAGGACAGGGCACAGAGAGGAGCCAGCAGGACGGGAATGGGGAGCTCCTGGTGAGCTGGGCACTTTCTCCTTCATGTCCCTGACCTGCCAGGAGCCGCTTTAGGACATGGATCCCAAAGGAGCAAGAGGTACCAGGAAGCGCCGCTGATCTGCACAGAGCCCTTTGCCTGCTGCTGCCCCACAGGGAACAGGTCAGTGGAATGTTGGCCTTCCTCCCTACCCCACCTTCCTCTCCTGCAGCAGCTGCTCTGTTCCTGCCACCCTCTCCCGCTGACCCCAGGGCCCTCCCCAGCTCCTCTCTATTCTCCTGTGCATCCCATCTGTGTCCTAATACTGAAATGGGCCAGAACAAACTTTCTAACACAATGCAAAGCATGAGGAAGCAGGAATTCTTGACCTGCACAGGACACAGAGGGATCTCTCCTTGTATTGTGTGTATGGTGAGGCTTTACAACAGGGTATTAATCCATTAGAACCACATGTAGGCTTTGAAAAGTTTTTCTTATCTAATACATAAACACCATTTTCCTAGAACTCATTTCCATGCATCCACCTCCTCCTGCAAGTCCTTTTATGATCCTGGAGGTTCATTAAGCACGGTCTCTCTGGTGGTCATATTCAATGAATGCTGCCATATTGAAGGTGCCCTTGCCTTGAACTTTTCCTCTGGCCATGCACTGTTGCCTCTTGTTCCAGAATTTACCCCAAAACAACTGCAGGCCTCCTTATCTGTTTCTGCACTGGTTCCTACCATGTTTGTCATCCTGTGTGCCAGCCTTTACATCCTGTGAGAAACAACCGCCCACTTTTTAAATTTCGAAATGTTCATTAAACCTTAACAAAAAATGCAACAAAAGGACTGAATAATCAGAAGCAGGCCTGGGAGCTTCCTCATGGCTGCCCACCACATGGCTGGCTGATCTTCAAGATGGATGCTTCACCTCTGATACCCTGGGGGTTGCATCAGCTAAACCTGGCCCCTCCCAAAGTCTGTCGCTCAGCCCTTCTTTGTGTTTATTGCTGGAGCCTGCTCTCTTGCAACTTGACTGGAGGGTCAGGTGTTCTCATGCTGCACCTCTTCCCCCCCCAGCAACAAGCTTTTGTACACCCCTTCTTTCTACCTGTCCTAGATGACTCAGACTCTCTGATGGAAACAGTACAGAGGGGAGAGAAGGGGACTATGGGGTGAACAGGGGACATCTAAACAACAGACTACAATAACATAATTATATATCAATCAAGCTTCTATTAATATTCACACAGTATTCATCCCTTAACTGTGAGAGCCAGTCATCTCATTATCCATCTATAAGACATCCTTTAAAATTTTGGCCACTTTACTTTGGAACAACTTCAGAAGAACTGAAAATGTTTATTCTCTATGTTATTTATCAGCCTCTTTCTAACCAGCCCAAACCTCCCACCTCCCTCTCCCGCCCCACCATTTCCACCGCCCTCCTCCCCTGCACATCTCACTCCTCCCCACTGAATCCTTCCCACTGCAGGGAGCTGCTGAGGAGCCGCATGGTCCATCCCTGGATTCTCCAAGCACTGACTGCCCATCCACTCTGACCACAGCCAGGGGCCACATCCCACTGCCTGCCCAGCGTCCATCCATGGAGGTGAGCACCGTGTCCCCTCTTTTCACCTCACCAACTGACACACCTGCTCCGTGTGACATCAATGTCTCCAGCGTGGCCATGCACTTTGTGACCCTGCTCATCTGCCTCTGTGGGCTGGCTGGGAATGGGGCTTTCCTCTGGCTCCTCCAAATTAATGCCATCACTGACTTTGTGGCATTCAACCAGGCCAGCATCGACTTCCTCTTCCTCATTTTCATGGTCCCCTCCACCCTGCTCTTTCTGCTGGAGGAGGTTTCCTGCTTTACTATAATGGCCCCAATGTATTTAAGCTTGCTTTCCCAGCTGTCAATGTTCACCTACACTATGGGGCTGTTCCAGCTGATGTTCATCAGCATCGAGAGGTGCAGGTCCATCCTCTGCCTGTTTTTCTGTGTTGGACAAGTTTCTGAGCACCTGTTGTGGGTGATAATGAGTGCCCTGTTCTGGGCCTTGTTCTTTGTTGTCACCGCTGTCAATCCTACAGTGACTTCCCTGTGCCAGTCACACAAGCAGGAGCAATGCCAGGTGGCCCTCACATCCATGTACACCCTCAACCTCTTCCTATTTGCTACACCCATGGTCATCTCCAGCACAATCCTCTTCATTCATGTCAAGACTGGCTCCCAGCAGCAGCAGAACAAGAGGCTCGACATTGTTGTCTTTCTCATTGTACTCTTCAGTCTGCCCCTCAGTCTCTGGTTTCTTCTGCAGCAGCTCGGTTACATGGCTGTGCCCTCCCAGGTGGTTTTCCTGCTCACCTGCATCCACAGCAGCATCAAACCCTTCATCTACTTCTTGGTGGGGAGCTGGAAGAGAGACTGGTCCATGAGGAGCTGCTGGAGACACTGCTCCATGGAGAGCTGCAGGAAGCACTCCTCCATGCAGTCCCTAAGGAGGGCAATCCACAGGGTGTTTGAGGAGCCAAAACTAAACACTGCCTCTGGAAATGATCCTGTTGTGAACACGGGGGTCTGACCCTGTTGTTTCCTTCCACTGCACTGCTCTAGGACCCCGGGAAAGTGGCTGAGAGATTCCTTGAGTCTCCTGATCATTAAATACCCACAGGATCACCCTGCCTGTGCTGGTGCATCCCCAGCCCCTTTCCAGGCCATTCTGGGCTCTGATCCGTGCTTGTGAGGCCTCAGCCTGGAGGAGCAGCCCCTGGGCTCAGCTCCTGTGGCGCTGATCAGAAACACCCTCTGCTCCCAGGAGCTGCTGCTGTCCAACGACCTCCTGGGCTTTTATCAACAGCCTTGGAAATTACTGGAGTGCCCTGGATGCCACAGCATCCCTGCTCTGCCACTGTCACAGGAAGCTGCCGGCCCCAAGCGTGGCCAGGGTGAAGCATTGCTGGCAGTGACGCCCATCCCTTGGGGCCCTGGGAGCAGCGGCCCCAAAGGAGACCCTTGGAGCTCTCCCGGGCCCAGCAGCGCTGAGCAGGAGCTCCCTGGCACCGGGGCCTCTCCCAGCTGGGATCTCTCCCGTCTGCTGCCCTCGGCTGATCCCCGAACGCCCACGGCTCCTGGGCCCAGCCCCCCAGGGCTCCAGGCCCAGCCCTTGGCACAGGCAGGAGATGCAAAGGGATCCGCAGGGAGCATTTCACTGCCTGCCAGGGCAATTGCTCACAGGGACCTTGCACTGACTCTGCCTGCCTGCCTGGCTCTGTGCACACACGTCTGCATCTGCTCTGGCAAATGTGCCAGAAATGCTGCTCTCTCAGCTCTCTTAGTGCCTGAGACATCTGACTGGGGCAGGCCTGGAAGCAAGGTTAAGGCATAAATAAGGTTAAATGCTGCTAAGTGATATTCCTCTGTTAAATGGCTCAGTTTAAGGTGTAACTGAAGTGCTGTTAGGTTGGAGTGCTCTAAAGCTTTTAAGCCATTTTCCTTTTATTCCTTACCCTCGCTGTCCTTTTGTCACCTGGCCTTGCACTCACACACAAACACACACACAGGGACAGCACTTTGGTGTGCTGGTGCTTAATATTAAACCTGGTTTTTACTGATTTCCTTGCTGGTGCTTTTGTGCCTTCACAAATTCTTCCTCTGCCCTGGCTTTGGCCTCCCTCAGCAGGCTGGGATGGTGCAGCTCCAAGGGGAAGGGTGGATCCATGCTCCTCAGCACAGCCACCCCCTTCCAGGAGCAGGATGACATCTGTGTTTGTCACCATGGGCTCCATGGGACATCAACCCTCTCCCTGGGGCTTCTCTGAGGTCTCTGAGCTGGGGGTGTTCAGCCTGGAGAAGGGAAGGCTTCAGGGAGACCTTAGAGCCCCTTCCAGGGCCTGAAGAGGCTCCAAGAATGGGAGAGGCTTTGGACAAAGGTCTGAAATGACAAGAAAACGGGGAATGGCTTCCCACTGCCAGAGAACAGGGTTAGGGGCAATATTGGGAAGAAATTCCTCCCTGTGAGGGTGGAGAGGCCCTGGCACAGGTTCCCAGAGATGCTCTGGCCTCCCCATCTCTGGAGGTGTTCCAGGCCAGGCTGGATGGGGTTTGAAGCAGCCCTGTCTTGTGGAAGGTGTCCCTGCTTGCAAAGGGGTGAGATCAGGAAAAGACAACCACAAGTATTCCCAAGACTGAAGAGGAGGAGGAGGAGCTCTGGTGAAGGGCTGGAAGGGACACCACAGCACCCCAACATCTGGACTCTATTGGCTTTTATTGCATCCTCAAGGCTACTGACAGTAAGAAATGTGGGCTCTGATGCTGATAACCTGCTGCAAGCCTGTCGTGGTTTGGCACTGGCCATTCACTCGCCTTCTCCTGCTCTCAGCTGGGCAGAGGAGAGGGAAACAAAACTTAACAAAGGAATCATGAGTTGAGATGAGAACTGGGAGAAAAAACACTCTTTGCAAAAAAACGGGTCAAATTTTCTGGTATCAAGTAAATTTATTAATAACAGATTCAGAAGATGGTAATGAGAATTAAAATATAGCTTTAAATCACTTTTTTTTCCCCCAGCCCCTCCATCTTGCCCATTGACAATGCAGGGAGACAGGGCACGGACGTCCTTCACCAGCTTTGAAGCACTGCCAATAAAACACCGTTTACCTGGAAAAAAATTGGGTTATCCATTAAACAAAGAGAGACTGCATATTCTGGGAATAATTAAAACCATCAAAACATTGATATCATTATATAATATATTGGGAGCACTTTAGGGAGTATCTATAAAAAATCTCTGATATTATAGTGTATAAATATGCCTGGAAATTGTTGTTTTTTTGGACATATCTATGGCAAATAAATTTCCAATATGTTCACAATTTTGACTCAAAATTGTTATTAGGCTAACATGATTTCCTGTAAGACTTCAGTGTCTTGGTGTCTGCAGGGGCACAGCCATGGCTTGTGCTGCCTGGAGCAACCATGATCCCCAGAGCTGAGCTGGCATGGACACAATGGCCCAGGGGCTCAGCATTCCCCACCCCGAGTGCTCTGTCAGTGTCACAGCAGAGATCTCCCCAGAGATCTTTACTTTTCAATTTTGTCAGCCAGGAGCAAAGGTGTCTCTGCCTTCAGAAATTCTTCCTCTCCACTGCCTTCAGCTGCTCCCTCAGCAGGCTCAGGTGGTGCAGCAGCAAGGAGAGGAGGAGGCCGTGCTCCTCAGCACAGCCACCCCCTTCCAGGAGCAGGGAGACACCTGTGCTTGTCACCATGGGCTCCACGGGGCATCACCCCCCTCCCTGGGGCTTCCCTGAGGTCACCAGCCCCACCACACCCCACACCTTCTCTCCAGCCCCACCACACCCCACACCTTCCACCACATCTTCCCACCAGCTCCATCATGTCCCAGCCCTCCCACACCACCCTCCCATCCCACTCCCCATGCAGCCCACCCACCTCCCGTCCTTCCCATCCCTCCCAGCCCCGTGCCTGAGGCTCCAGTCCCTCCCCACGGGCTGCTTACCCAAGGCTGCCCTGGAAGCCTTTGGGGCCGTGTTTCTCTTGGAGATTCCCCTCCCCAGCTCCATCCCTGGTGTCCAGACCCCCAGCCTCCTTTGGACACAAACAAGAGGCACTACAGGGATGGCTTGGAGTGCCCAGGGTGAACCTTTTGAAGGCCTTTCATAAATGCCTCCTTTTATTCTCTTCACCTGGTCTGGCCTCTGTTCTAGGGAGCCAGCCCAAGGCATCAGACACACAGGGGCTTGAGGGGCCAGGAGGGCTCTGGGTGCCACCAATCCCAAATCTCCCACTGGACAGCAGCAGAGCCCAACAGGCCACACCTGCAGCCAGGGAGTGGCCAGGGACATGGAACACATCGGGATGGCATGGCATGGCATGGCATGGCATGGCATGGCCTGGGGAGTGATGCCAAAATCAGATGGAATGAAGTTCTGTCTGAAGAAGTCCTAACCCCACCTTATGTTGTTATCAAGGGAAGTATTAGGCAGCAGGACATGCAGAAGGAGCTCTCATTATTTCTGTGAGTGTTGTGAGATTTTACAACCGTGTTTTTATCCATTATAACCATACATAGACATTAAAAAGTTTTTCTTTTCTAGAGAACACCTTAAACATAAAGGTAAATACCATTCTCCTAGAACTAATTTCCCTTCATCCACTTCCTACTGCGAGTCCTCTGATGGCCCTGGAGGGTCATTAAGAGGGGCTTCTGGTGGTTGTATTCACTGAGTGCTGTGATATCTAAGGTGACCCTGCCCTGAACTTTTCCTTTGGCCGTGTGCTCTTGCTTCTTGTTACAGAACTTGCCTCAGAAATAATGCCAACCTCCTTATCTCTTTCGGCTCTGGCTCCAGGCACGTCTATCACACAGGGTCCACACCTTCACATATTTTTATCTATTTGCCCAGTTAGTCTTCAGGCAACATCAGGAGAGTTGAAAATGTTTATTCTCTCTTCTTTATCAATCCCCTGCGCACCAGCACACCCTCACTCCTCCCTCTCCCATCCCACCATTCCCACTGGCCTCTTCAGCTTCACGTGTCACTCCTCCCCACTGAATCCTTCCCACTGCAGGCAGCTGCTGAGGAGCCGCATGGTCCATCCCTGGATTCTCCAAGCACTGACTGCCCATCCACTCTGACCACAGCCAGGGGCCACATCCCACTGCCTGCCCAGCGTCCATCCATGGAGGTGACCACCGTGTCCCCATCTCCTGCCTCACCCACTGAAGGAGATCATCTCTGTGAGACAGATGTCACCACCATGGCCATACACAGTGTGACCCTGCTCATCTGCCTCTGTGGGCTGGCTGGGAACGGGGCTGTCATCGGCCTCCTCAACCTGAAAAGAGGGAACGCTGCCTTCTTTGACCTGGCTGTCATTGACTTCCTCTTCCTCCTCTTTGCAGTCCCCTCCGCCCTCCTCTTCCTGGTGGAGGACATGTCCTGCTCTCCTGTCGTGCCCTTGATGTACATGAACTTTGTTTTTCAGTTGTCATTGGTCTCCTACTACTGGGTGCTGTTCAGGCTGATGAGCAGCATCCCTGTGTGGTATATGCACAACCTCTTCAAGCTCTGCTGCCACTGTGACCTTCCTCTGCTCCTGATGTGGGTGGTGGACACTATCCCATACTGGGCCATCTTGGCTCTCTTCACTGTCATTCCCACAGTGACATTCTTTTGCCCATCACAAGAGCAGGAGCACTGCAGGGCAGCTCTCATCTCCATGTACACCATCATCCTGCTCCTCTTTGCTGCACCCGTGGTAATTTCTGGCACAATCAATTTCATTCATTCCAAGCGGGGCTCCCAGCAGCAGCAGCAGCCCAAGAGGCGCGACATCGTTATTGTCATCACTGTGCTCCTCACTCTCCTCATCAGCCTCTGCAATTTCCTGCAGCAGCTCGGTTACATCGCTGTGTCCTCACAGGTTGTCTTCCTGCTCACCTGCATCCACAGCAGCATCAAACCCTTCATCTACTTCTTGGCAGGGAGGGGCTGGAGGCCCTGCTCCAAAAAGTCCCTCCAGCTCTCCCTCCAGAGGGTCTTTGAGGAGGCAGAAGAAAACACTGCCCACAGCGATGATCCTACAATGGACACAGTGCTCTGAGCCTGCTGATCCCTTCCACTGCTCTGCTGAAGGACCCCAGGAAAGTGGCTGGAGGGCTGTCCTTTAAGCTCCTGATTAATCAATATCCACAGGATCACCCTCCCCATGGTGCTGTATTCCTGCAGGACAAGGGAGCACAGGCATTGCCTTGGGTGATTTTGTGGGATGCTCTGCAGGGAGCACATTGCAGCATGGCTTTCCTCCTCCCTCCTGGATCCACATGGCTCCAAGCAGTGCAGCTGGGCTCAGTGCTGTTCCCCAGCTTTATTCCCCATGAAATCACCCTCATGGCCTCGGCCCCAGGGAATGAACTCCCTCTCCTTTGCCTTAGCACATGAGTTCCATGGTGATTTCAGGGAGCTCTTACCTGCAAAGAATGGGACACCTTCATCCCTGGGGACACACCCAGCACAGGGTGGCAGTGATTTCCCAAATCCCTGCAGGGCTGGTGCCTCTGGATGGCAGGAGAGGGGTTGGGATCACAGGGAGCATCCTTCCCCTTCTGTCCACCAGAGCCAGCCCTGCATTCCCAGCTGATGGGAAGGGACACCAGGAAGGGCTGCAGAGCTGGGGAGGGACAGCAACATTCCCTTATCCTTTCCATGGGAATTTGTCACATTTATTCATTCCAGAATTAAATCCTTCTGCACAAAGAATGCCTCCTTTGAACCCTTGTGCCTCTGACCAAAAAGTGCTTTTAACATGGAAATTCCATCACCAAGATGCTTGGACAATTTAATTGCACAGAAATTAGGGGGTTATGCTGCTCTCCTGCAGAATGGGGCCATCCATCCTCTGGTTCCCCAGCATCAGTGCCCAGGGAAGCCCTTGAGCACCTCCAGCCTGAGCCTGGCCACCCTCAGGAGGAGCTGCACAGCCACTCTGCACAGCAGCTTCAGCCACAGTCCAGCCTGCCCTGATCTTTGTCATTCTGGAACCACCCCTCAATCAGATTTGGATTCATGGTTTTTGTTTGCCTCCATCAGGGTAATATCCAACCCAGAGTTTGTTGAATACTCAACAACCAGGCTTCCCTGCAGAGCCTGTGGCTGTTAAACAGTGTCCAAAATGGCTCATTTCCTTCTTTGATCCCATTCCAAAGCCTCTGGCTGCTCTGGGAGCAGGGCAGCCACCTGTCTCATACCAGAGCCCTTCCTAAGGCACGTGCCTGCAATGGCTGGGATGATGTTGGCACTGCCAAGAGCTCCTGATTCCTCCTGGGAGAGACCTGGGCAGCAGCCACAGCTCTTGCTCAGGGGGAAGTTGTCCCTCCTTTGCCCACTGCCCTAAATCCAGGGGAAACCAACGTGCCACTGCTTCTGGAAAGGGAAGTGAAAGCGAAAACCATGTGTGGAGTCAGGCTTTGGAGACACACTTGAGGTTCAACAGCTAAGGAGCATTTATTAACATAGTTGTTAATAATTAACAGAAGAGACTTTGATATCTAAGAGGGTTTTTCTCTCTACCTGACTCCCTTTTCCAGTCCATTGGAAAGACTTTCCATGGTGGAACCTCTTGTCCAGGGAAGAACAACTCAGCCAGGGCGTTTCTCCCAAGGCAAGTGCAGAAGGACCATTCTACTTCCATGTACTTTTTCTGCTTCCCAGCACCTTCCTTGTCTCCAGTGTCACCGAGGCCACTCCCTACCTGAGCTTCCTTTCAAAAGAGCAAGACTTCAAAGCAAAAGCTTTCCTGGTTGTCCCTGCCCATGGAAGAAGGAGAGATGGAATGAGATGATCTCTCCTGTTCCTTCCAACCTGTCCTGGGGTGACTTTATGATGCTGAATTGTGTCCCCATTCATCTGTTTAGCCCAGAAATAGGTTTTGCCCATTTCAGACTGGTTCTTGAGCAAAGAGGGGGAGAGCAGATGCAGCAGTTTGTTTTCAGAAGCTGCGCTCACTCCTCCCCATTCCTGCTCCCAGACCGTGCTGTCTGCAGCACAGACATGCAACACACAGCTCTCCTTTGCTTTTGGTATTTTTTGAACTAGCTGAGGCTGAGAAGTTCCCTGGCCTGTGGTTTTCCTTTTGCTTGGAGCTGTTCAAACCTGCTCTGGACTGAAAACCCAGAAGAGCACGGGGAGCTCACACCTGTGGCCCACCGGGGCCTGGGACGCGGCATTTTCCAGCACCAGGGGGACTGATAAGAGACTGAGTGAGCCAAACTACACTCCACAACAAGGACTTGCTGAATTTGCCACCTCTGCAGAACACCAAGGGATTTTATTGTCTAATATTGTTTTCATTTTTTGTACTTGTGAATACATTGCTTGTTAAATAAACAGTTTTTTTCCACTTTTCTTTGAGGAAATCTTTTCCCAAACAAGTTGGGGGGGGGGGGGGGGGGCTGCTTGAATTTGTTTACTAGAGGGAGCCCGTTCAGAGGCTTCCTCCCAAATTTTCCCTAAACCAGGACACAACCCAAAGCATTCCATGAGGATTCCTCGTGTCACTCACTACCACCCCAGGCAGGAGTGCCCCTGCTGCACACAGCACCAGCCTGGCAGAGCTCAAGGAGCATTTGGACAATGCTCTCAGGCACAGCCTGGGATTCTTGGGATGTCCTGTGCAGGGCCACGAGCTCAACTCCATCAACCTTGTAGGTCCCTTCCAACTCTGGATATTTTATGGTTCTATGTTATGCTGAGGATCTTTCATGATGATTCCACGTGATGATGACTCCACTGTGTTGTCCCTGTGCCCTGGCTCTGGCACAAAAGCCTCAAAAGCCCTCTGCAAGGCAACACTACCAGAGGAGGTGAATTCCTTTGCACAGCTCCCAGCCAGGAAGTGAATCAGAGGGAGGGCAGAGCTCTTGGCACAGGTGAGCAGGAGAGAGGTGCTGGCGGCAAAGACAGAGAAGTCAAACGCCCTCAGCAAGAGCCAGTGCCCAAAATCAGCAGTGAAGAAGGGGAAGGGCATGACAGGAGCAGCAGGAGCAGGGCACAGAGCTTCCCTGGGAGCTGTTTCCATGGGCAGCACAGGAGCCTGGCCATCAGGGCCAGAGCAGAACAGGCCAGGCTGAGCACTGAGAAGAGGCAGCTCAGGACCGAGGCCATGGTCACCAAAGAGCAGCAATGGAGGGGGGCAGTGAGCAGGAAGGAGAGCAGCCAGAGCAGGGCACACAGAGCATGGGGAAGCACTGCGAGCAGTGACAGGGCCAGCAGGACACGCGAGGACAAACAGAGCTGTCACAGCACTGAGGGCTGTCAGACAGGAGACAGCGGCAGTGAAAGCCAAGAGGATGGGCACCTTCAGCCCAGCTGTCACACCCCACGAGCCCAGCTGCTGGCAGAAGCTCTCTGGGACAGAAAATAGCCCCAGGGGGATGATGATGGAGAGCAGGAAGGTGAAGCCAGCCATGGCCAGGCTGAGCACATAAGGGGTGATGGGGTTCCTGTGCATGCAGAAGCTGAGGAGCCAGAGCACAGCCCCATTCCCACCATTCCACACAGGCACAGCAGCAGCAGCAGCAGCAGTGGGACAGGCACTTTGCTCCACTGCCTGTGGTCACACTGGCTCCAGTTGCCGTGGCTCTCCTCATTCCAGCTCCCCTTGGATGCCTTCCCACCGGGCTGGCTCCAGCAGGCAGGGCTGGCTCCCTCCGTGGCAGGGGACAAAGTGCTCATGGTGACACCTCTGCTGCTTCTCCTGCCCTCACACAGCTGGAGGGGTGACACACAGAGACACCAGAGCAACGCTGCTGTCCCCCAAACGTGGCTTTTCCCATCTTTTCCCAGCCACAGCTTCCATGTGCAGCAGCACAGGCAGGGCTGAGGGACAGGACAGAAGGCAACTAGGATGTGGGAGCCTGGTCTGGCATGCCTGGCACAAAAGCCAGGCAGATACCTCCTTCCTGGCTGTGGACAGGACACAGCTGGAGGAGGAAAACAAGTGGAGAAGGAAGGAATTGCCCATGGAAATATCAGAGAGCAAATGACTTTGGGATGGATCTGAGCTGGACTCTCAGGTGTCAGTTGGTATCACTGAGCTGATGGATTCCTTCAGCAGGACACTCGTTTCAATATTCCCTCCCTTTCCCCACACTGTTTATAGCTTTCAATTCCCTACAGACCTCAGTTCTGCCCCCAAAATCAATCACCAGGTTCCACCCAATGAGGGGGCCCTGATTAAGGTGGAAGAGAAGAGTCTGACCTTGTTTCCTCTGGCAGCCTGCAGAACTTCCCCGCAGCGCACTCCCCTCAGCTCCCAGCCTCCAGCTGCTGTCCCTGGGCCGGGATCTGCAGGAGCTTCCCTGGAATGGTCCCTTGGGAAAGGGGAGCGCGGCCCGCGGGGTGAGCCCGAGCGGCGCCCGGCGCGGGCTCTGTCCCAGCTCCTGCCACAGCCCCTGCTCTCCGTGCTGCCTCGTGTTCCCCAGGGCTCTCACACACAGGCAGCTGCCTCAGAGCTGCCACGGCCTCAGGCCTCTGCTCCTCAGCTGCTCTTCACTCTGCCCGGGAAATGAGCAACAGGAGAGAGCCCCAGCAACCACACCTGTGCCCAAAGCGCTTTGGCTCCATCTCAGCTTCTGTTCGATTTTATAGCAACCTCAACCCCAAAATCTTGTCTTCTGAACTGCATGAACTTGTCCCCTGTCATCCCCTGACATGGATCCTTATGACCCTGAACTACAAATGTGCTGTTAAACTTCTATTTCTGTTTCAAATGTGGTTTCCCCACTTGTATACCACAATTTAAGTGGCACCGGACCTTCACCATTCAGTTTCCAAGAAGATTCATGCAAGAATAAATTCTGTGTGTGAGCTGGAGCACTGGCACACAGCAGAGGGATGATTTGGGATTTCAGCAATGTCATTTCTTCTGAGAAGAGGCAAATCCATGCTGCTCTCTTGGCTTTAATCCTTAGAAAGTTGCAGGTTTCCTTTGAGTCATCCTCTACACTCCATTGGGAGTCTGACAGCAGCCTACAGTGAATTCCAAGGAATTCCTAGAAAGCTGAGGTGAGATGATTCCCACCCAGGCTGACATGTGCCTCAGGGATCTGGGATGCTCCTCCTGGAAACTGCTGGCCCTGGGACCAGAACTGTCACCTCTCTTCCTGCTGACACCGTGTTTGTGTCCCCAGCTATGGCATCTCACATTCCCTCACCAGCCCAATCCTTTCAAGGGCAAACACTTCATGATCCAGGAGCTGATGGGGCTCCAGGAGAGTTGGAGAGGGACTTTGGACAAGGGCATGGATTGAAAGGACAAGGGGGAATGGCTTCCCACTGACAGAGGGTGGGGTCAGATTGGATATTGGGAAGAAATCCTTCCCTGTGGTTTCTAAAACTTTCATTGCATCATCAAGGAGATTGACAGTAATCAGGGTGGGCTCTAAGTGCTGCTGACCTGGCTGCAAGGAACTGAGTGCTGTCCTCACCTTGGGCTCTGTGAGCCTGCATTGCAATGACAGGAATGGGAATTCTCAGCTCAGTTTACTTTCTTGGGGCCAGGGAAAGCTTTGGCAATGATCCAGGACCTCTTCCCAGAATGGGATGTGTTTCTGAGAAGCACCCAGATGCTTGCACAGTGCTGTGAGCACTTCCAGCACTGCCAGCAGCATTCCAGCACCATCAGCCCCACCAGCAGCTCTCTGCTGCTGGAGGGACAGTGACCCCTCAGGGAAGATAAATGAGGGATGGTAGAAACCTGC